TCTTTCCAGCTCCTACTCTGTTTGATTTCTGACCCACCCTGGAATCTCATCACTTTCTGCTACACATTTCTCCAAAGTGTTTGGGTATCCTGGTCTCAGCATGTTAGAGGGAGCACCATGGAGAAACAGCCCAATTATCTCCAAGCAGATTTGTTGATACCTAGCCTGTTTTCACTACATGATGACTCTAAGGCCCTGGGTAGGTTACTTAGCATCTCTGTGTCTCAAACGCGTTGTTACAAAATATAACTAAGGATGATTCCTACTGTTATGGTTACACACACACATACTCACACACACACATACACACACACACACAGGCACGCACACAAGTACGCATTTGTTCTAGCTCATAGCAAGTATTATTTAAAAAGAAACTATTAATTTGAATCAGATTGCAGACTTTTTTGTTGTTCAGGCAAGTTCCTCTGATCTTGAATTCCATTCATTGCTAGGCATTGCTGTTTACAGGAGCAGCCTTCTGACTATGCAAACAGATGTCCAACACCTCCTGTACTCTCAATCCCACAGTATGCCATTCACAACAAGTGCCTGGGCTATGGTCCTTGACTTCCCTAAAACCAGGCCGCTCCTCAGGTTCCTCCTTACTTGGTGGCACCTTTGTTTACTTGCTCTGGACACCCAAGCCTGTTCTCTTCTTTGGGATTCTAGCAAGTGGCCATACACACTTCCTTTGAACTCTGGAACTGGCAAACACTGGGGTTGAATTTGGCTCCCATGACAACTAAACATGCAACCTTGAACAAGCAGTTGTTGGTGAACTTTCCTGGGCATTAGTCACAAACCTACAGATGTCAACCATGAGTGTCCCTAAGAATTAACAGAAGTTCTTAAAATTGTAGTCATGTCCCTAACTAACTACTTCAAATTTTATTTTGTTTTTTAACTATATGTATGTATTTGTGCAGGACTGTGCTTGGGAGAGCAGGCCCCCATGGAGTCCAGAAGAGGAAGTCAGATCTCTTGGAGCTAGAGGTAAAAGTGGTTATAAACCACCAACATGGGTGCTGAGAATCAAACCTGGTCCTCTCCCAGAGCAACAAGGGTTCTGATTGAAGAACAATCTCCTAGCCCTAGAAATTTCCTCTCTGACACATTGCATTGTGCAATGTGATATTGTGCATTGGTTGTACTTCAAGAGTCACTTGAGCTTTATAGGACTGTGGAGAGAGTCAAAGAAAGCAATATTTTAAAAAAATGCTTACCCAGGAATCACTGCATAAAATACAACCTTTCGTTTTCTTCCATGAAACAGGGCAAAAGTGTATTTAAAAAGAACACAGAGATGAGCCTCTTCTCATTTTGTCCCCATTTCATGCATGAAGGGAGAATACCATACTGTAGCATTTCTCACTTAGAGAGAAGAGTTTAGATTGCGTGGGCATTGCCCTTACCATGGCTTTCCTGGCACCTGATATAAAGGCTTTCCATTTTAGATAAAAGCTCAACATATTTATTACACAGCAAAGCAATCTTTTTATATTACCCACGGTTTTTAAACACCCACCCACACATGGGGGTGGGATGTATCAAGAATCTGTTTGTGGAGGTTATCCAACATAATGTTTTCTCATCCTGTGTTTGTGGCTCCTCATGCTCAAGCTGAGAAGCTAAGAATCTTGACCAGAGAGTGAGACACATGCTTTTCTTAGTAGGAAATGTGCTAGGAGAAAAAGAACCAGATACGGAGGGGAAACTGTTTTATAACATATTTGGCTGCAGGAAACTGAATATACTGTTTTGTGTGTGGTCCACCCAGTGGAAAAAGCAAATGGTTTGCATTTTTACAGGGACTAGAAATGCTTCGGATTTAATAGCAGAGACCAGGGCAATACCTCTTGCTTTCATAATTGATTTTGCACCCTCCATGTGATGTGCATTCCTATATGTTTGGGGCCAGGACTGGATGTTACCCAGAATCTTCCCTAATATTATTGCTGTATGAGGGCAGTTCACAGGGAATGGGACTTGTGACATCCAAAATTTTCCTGGCATTCTGGAAAGCTGAATAAAAACCAGTGTCTGTCAGTCTTAATAAAGGTTTACCAACATTGCTGTGTGTGTGTTAAATGTGCATGTATGTGCACATATGCATGCCTGTGCAAAACGTAGAGGCAGGAGGAAGGTGTCCTGTGTCCTCCTCTACTATTATTCCAAGGCAGGATCCTTTCTTGAACCGGAACTCACAGTAATTATGTTGAATGTTTCTGTTGTTGGTTTTTCTAACCAAACACCTCCAAAGAAGCACAACCTACCAGTGTGCAAGCACATTGCAAAGGGCTTGTAAGAATCCACAGAGGATCCACGAAACACTAAAAAAAAATGTGTTCCTTTTCTCTTGAAGACTGACATAGCCTTCCCAAATTTGACTTCTGGAAAAATGACCAACATAAGACATTTAAATTTGTAAGAGGCACAATGGAGAACAAGGAAATAAAATCCCAGATGTGTGAGTATGCCCCATCACACTGTGAAGGAAGAAAAGCCCACAGAAGTCAGAGTCATTCCCACCCCTACCATCAGTAGCAAGAAGGTGGTACAAGCTAGTTAACAAGCTCACACTGGTTGGTAAATGAAAAGTATAAAAGTAGAGAAGTTTTTCCTGAGGGACTCACACCACTTCAGCTGGCTAGTGAGGTCCAGAAACCTCCTATGTTTGCTTCCCCAAGCAGTGAGGTTTTTCTCTCCTTGCCTGAATTCTGACCTCTAGTCTCTGGCCTCTTTATTTTACATGTCTATTGTTACTCCTAGTTTACAAATCTATGCACTTTTATTATGACATTTTACTTTACTACAAAAAAAGAAAAGAAAACACAAAAGTCAGGAAACACCTGCCTTTGTAACAATCCCCTGATCCTCACACACCAATCACAGATGTCAAACAAGTGTAAATTAGATCAGTAAGAGACCAAACAAAGCTTTGGCCAATTTTCCATTTTGTTAGGGAAAGTGACTGCAAATCAACAGGAACATACCATTTACCCACTAAATGAACCCCAATCCTCATTATACAATTAACCAAAACACAATTGTATGTAATATAATTACTCAAGATTACAATTACACAAAAGTAATGATGCAGGGTAGATGGCAATGACTTTCATGTAATCAAAAATAATGAGAGCTTCCTTGATTTTATATTAAGGTATCAAAGAGACCTCAATTGACAAATGTCCCTGTATTGATTTGCAGTACATTAAATACTACACCAGCTGATGGGTTTGGAAGCTTCTCCCTTGCCAGGAATATAGACTTGGGGTGGTAGTCATTCCCTGTAATAGCTTTGATTTGGAGATTTCTAAATTAGCACATTTTAATGAAGCACACATTTTATTACCCACTTTCACATCTGGTCAAATTGTGGAAAAAAGGCATTAAGATCAAGAAGTCAGTGTGGAAAAGAGAAAAAAAAAAGATGTCAGTGTGGTATGTAGGTGATTCCATGGGAAATGGTATTTATTTTCAGAAATGTGTATTATGTTCCATGTAATTAGAGCAGTCATTTCCAGCATTAGTAGAGACCATGTTCTGTATGGCTGATTTCCCATGTTACAAAGTAAAGGTACCTGATGCTTTTTATCATTTCTCCCCTGGACTGGGATACTCACTTCCTGAACTCCCTTAACTCTGCCCTACATTTTCCCCAACTCTTGTTTCTAGCCACCAAGTCTGATAGTGTTCCTTCTTAAAACTCACACGGAGAATTCCGCATGCAAAAAAGGCCCTCATTGTGATGATTCCAGGTCCACACCCCCATCTGTGTGGAATGCACCTTCTCTGCATGACCTAGGAGCTGAACTATAGCAATTGAACCTAAAGTATGACACACTGCAAGACAAACCACTAGTTACTTTCTACTCAGGAAATAAATGTTGTCAAGAAAATTATCATATGTGTTAGTTATAAAATGCAACCCAAATCATTTTGAGTTGATAACTCTTGCGAACTATGTTTTGCTTCCACACAGTTCTGTGGCACTCTCTCCTACTAGCTTCTGTCTACACTTACCTTTGCCAAGCATGATTTTACTTTATCCTTTAAGATACAGTCAATCACCGACTTAAACTTCTTCAGTCTCAGTCCTTATTCTCACAGTGGTACCAACTTACTGGTATCATGTGTCCTTACTGGTACCACCTGTTTTACATGTATATTTGAGTTCATAGCAATAGCTAATTAATGTAGCCATGGATGTTTAACACCAACCCATTTGTAAACATTTAACAAATCTTATTTACCCACTGCCTCATTGATATTTCAAGAGGGGGAAACAGAACTAGAAGAATGAAGCAGGTAGGTGTCACAGAAGAAATATGGCAAAATCCTGCTGAAGTTCACTATACATTATCTTTGTTTTCCTGACTTTAAATCTAAAAAATTCCAACAGAACAGGAGTCAAATCCCAGGAGAGATACAACTGGAAACTGAGTGTCATGTTAGATCTCTGGGTTGCAGAATAAAAGAACTGATTCTCATTAGCCTACTGTCTGGTCTCTTTGAGCAGGGTTGATAACAGCTAGGACCAGCCATTGTCAACTGACAGCATCCATGTTGAGCACAGCCAAACCCATAGCAGTAGATTTCTTGAAGCTTTGTGTCATTATAGGAAGGTTATGAACAGCAGGCAAAGAATGAAATGGTTTAGGGGAGAAGTAATTCCTCCCTCCTTTCTGCTTTACTCTTAACTTCAAAGTAATCAAATGTTGTTTATGCATAAAATTTTAATCCTTTCACAAATTTGTATTTTGATTTAATTTGCATATCCCATTTACTGCAAGTCAACACGAAGAGAGACTCAACTAATTTAAACCGTTTTTCTCTGGGCCTGAAATCCTTTCAGAAATATTTTCCATTAGGTGACTCAATTATGTCTAATGTGGCTAATGTCATTGGATTAGAATTTTGCTTAAAGAAACTCATATTTAGAACAGTGAGAACAGGAAGGGATGGGGGAACAGAGGAGACAAGACAATAATTACCTGTCTTTGATGCTACACAGATCAATGTGTAAATCACTAAAATTCCCCAGGGAACCTTGCTGAACTGAAATGAGGTCCTTGGGCTGGTTATCAATAAAGATGAGCCTCATGCAGCCTTGGAAAGCCTTAATGGGATTTAAGCATTGGGAATCGGTGAGATTGTCAGGGCACCCTGTGGGACAGAGAAAAAAGATGAAGAACACTGAAATGATCTGTCATTGCTTTGGAAACCTATTGATGGAAGACCTTGAGGTCTAATTATTTGGGCACTTTTTTATTCACAGCAGGGCACACTTTTGTTGTATATCCTAGCTCAGGAGGATGGGCAGAAATTATGCAAAATAGGTATATTCAGTCACTATTAAGGAAAAAAGTGCCAAAGGGAATATCTTTGGTATAAATTTTACCTTATCTCCCACTGTGGGTTTGTGTTGTTGTGTTGTTGTTGTTGTTATTGGTGTGTGTGTGTGTGTGTGTGTGTGTGTGTGTGTGTGTGTGTACACCTGCACATACAATGTTTCATGTGGGCACCAGTAAAAGCCAGAGGTTGATATCATTTATGTCTTTTCTTTTCGTTTCATTTCTTTTCTTCTTTCTTTTCTTTTTAACCCCTTTCCAATTTATTCTTTGAGAGAAGGTCTCTTTGTGAACCAAGTCCTCACTAATTTCTCTAGGCTGGCTGGTTTTGAGCTCCAGGAACCCACCTTCATTCTTCAAGTTACTTTTTGTGGCAGTGTTCCTTCACCCAACCTGGAGCTTGCTGACATAGGTAGGCAAGATTATCAGTAAGCCTCCGTAGCCTGTTTATCTCAGCACCGGCATTCAAGGGGTTTAATGCCATGCTCAGTATCTTATAGGTCCTGAGAATACAAACTCAGAATCTAATGCCTTCATGGCAAGCATTTTACCAACTGAGTCACACACACACACACACACACACACACACACACACACACACACACACACACTTCCTTTGCTGCTGGAAACCTATTTGTCTTTCTTTTGAATGACATCCTTCACATATTGTTCACATATTGTTCAGTGCTTGGAAATGTTGGTTCTGTCTCAAAACATACATCTAAATTCACAATGCCATTCTGAATTACACTTTCTTTCTAAGGAAATCACGCTTTGCTAAGGATGGCAGCAGTGTAATTGTCTGGTTAATTGCAGAGCATTAACAGGCTTAGTTCACAAGAAAGGTACTCTCAGAAGCCAAGCTGGAGTTTTCACATGCTGTGCAAAACCAATCCAGACGTTAAGACAACTGCGGGCTTAAGTGCACATAGTTATAGGCTGTAATAGCACATGCAAAAGGTTAACATCACACCTCTTTAGGAGTGTTCTTTAGAGATAAAAAAATGCTTTGTACCTGTTTAGCATCACCTGCAGCCAGGACAACCTACCATCATTAAGATGGGTGAAGACCACGCAGGTAGATGAGTATGTGTGCTCTTACAAACCCCATCTCAGTGGATTTAATAGGTTCAGAGCATATGGGAATGTGAGCTTGAAAACACAGCAATGAGCCATAAATAACGGGGAATTATTTCAGCCATCTCTAATAGACAGTCACTGCGGGGCTGAAACCCAGCAGCTGGTTAACAGCTCACAGGCACACTATAAAATGAAGAGATGCTACAACTTCTAATTGAAGCTGTAGGGAGAATTTATGGAAGTTGACGATTATTGCTGAAGCTCATTTTTCACCTTCCTTAAGTTTACAGTCTGCGTGTGAGGGTTTGTTTAAACACTGTTCAAATCATAGATAAATCTTCACATTCTAAGACTAGAACCCAATGGAAACACACCCAGAATTTAGCATATTCTTGCTGGGGGAGGAGAGCCATTTTGCCTCTGTAGTATTTCAGACGATTATTGTAACATGATTATTCGAAGCCATTTTGCTGGCAAATAAATCCCTGACCATCATTCTTTCTCCATTGCTAAAATGCGTTTTGTGATACAGAATGTACAGCGTGGAGTTGAGAGCATTGCTCTGCATTTGTTTCCATTCATTGGATTCACTAGGGGGCTGCAGTGAACACAGATGTGAATTTTTGCCATATAGGCACTGTCTCTCTAGCTGTCTACAGATTATTATGGCTTTATTAACCTTTGAGCAACAACGTACATGAGTATGGGTGTGCAAATGCCACAGCCTGTGCATGGCTATCACAGGACAAGGAAAGGACTTGGTGCTCTCTACCTTGTCTGAGGATGGGCTTTCTGTTTGCCACTGTGTACACCAGGTTCACTGGCATGAGTTGCCTGAGGATTACAGACATGAGCTACAAAGTCTGGCTTTCTGGGGGCTCCAGGCATCCAACCACAGGTCCTTATGCTTACATAGTAAGCACTTTATCACTGAACTATCTCTCCAACCTACAGATTATTTTATTTCAAAAAATAGAAGCCTTGTTATCTATCACATGGAAATATTATCACCTAAAAGTATTTCCTACTGCTGGGGGTGTATTGTGACTGTAGATGAAGGACAGTGACACTTCCTCATGCTAAAATCCAACCTCAATAATCCTGTACCACTTCGCTTCCTTCTAAGGAGGCCCCACATATTAATTCTGTATCTGTGCAAATACCCTTTTGTGTCTCAAGCCTTCCATATATTTCCTTGAGAAGACATGGATGATTTATAGATTTTGGAGCTAAGAGACTACAGTGTTTGTGACATAGCTCAGGGTAAAGTGTATGATTAGTATGTGGGAGACTCCAGATAACTACAGTCTATGTTTTATTGCTATTATTATTTTTTATTATTATGTGTGAGCAAAAGAGTGTAGACAAGCATGCATAGCCACGCATTTATGGAAGTCAAGAGACAGATTTATGGAGCCCAGTCTCTTCTCTCACTATGGGTGCTAGGAATAGAATTCAAGTTCTCAGGTTTGAACAAGTGCCTTTGCTGAGGGAGACATCTTGTTTTCTCTTCAGTGAATGCTATTTTTCAATGCTTGTCTTCAGTCACCTCCTGGGAAGGAACTGTAAGTTCTAGAACAGGGTCATTTCCTGCACATATCCACAAGAGCTGAACCAGTTTGAGCCACTCTCTCTACACTGCGTAAGGGGATGTATGGTGGCAGGCTGGGGTTGGGTGTTCATGTGGTGCTGTGTGTCGAGAGACTACATGGGGGTTGTGTGCACATATGATGGCATGTATGGAGAGTGTGCATGGGGTTTGTGTGTGCATGTAGTACTGTGTGTGGAGTGTGGGCATGGGGTTTGGGAGCTCTCTGTGTTCTAGAAATGTGATTCCAGGGACTTTATATGAAAAGCTTGAGTTCAGAGAGACATGAGGACAGACCAAGACTATAGAAATAGGCATTGTCTCTTTTAATAAAAGACAGATTTAAAATACTCAGCATGGCGTGGTATGGATTCTATGAGAGAATAAATAAAAATAGAAAAGATACTCAATATGGGTTTATTCATAAAAATAGTAAAATGCCCCCTACACTTTGTCCATCCCAGTTTGTTTTCGCTTGTGACATTGGGAATGTCACAAGAGTTCAGTAAATATTAGAAAGAGCAGCCATTCAGAAATAACAATGCCCTCCCCCTTCCCTCCCCTCCGTGAAGACCCTAGCTCCTAGCCACTTTTCTCTGTCCCATGCATGGGTGAGGGTGAACTCTAGGATATGGAGAGGGCCAGCGAGGCTCACAGGTAAAGTGGCAGTAGAATGACCTAGATGACTGAGCAGGCTGATGATGCCTCCCACTTGAGTTTCCCTTGTACAGGTACTTGCTGATGCTCAGATCCTTTTCTCTAAGTTTTCAGCTGACTTTTTCCTTTCCAGTGTGATCAAGGAGCTTGGCGTGGCCACAAGTTTCTCCTTTGATGAGTTATGTAAGCCAGCTCTTGTAGCCCCAGTTCCTTCTATCCTCAGCACTGCCCTAGATAGCTTAAGTTTGCACAGTTGTCTGAGGCTCAGGTTTCTCACAGTTTGGGGTTTGTGTGCATGCATGTGCACATGCAGGGTTCTGGGGAGAGTTGTCTAATTGACAAAGCACATAGTAGAACAATTCCCCTGTCCTTTTGTTTGAAGTCTCAAAGGCTAGGGAATTTACCTCCAAAGTAGTAACTATTTCCAGAATAAATTTGCAGCCGGGAGGTGTCCTGAGCCGGGGAAGCAGCATCATTATCCAGGGTGAGAGTGACACGGTTTCTCCTGGCATTGATGCTGACAGAATGCCACAGGCCATCATTCAAGTCACTGCCTGCAAAAGAAACAGGAAGGGCTGCTTCATAAGGGTAATTACTCTCCTCTGCCTTACGGCTTAGTCTCTTTTCTCAAGTCATTTCTGATAGTTTTGGCTTAGAAACAAAGGGGACAAACACAAGTATGTGGGGAGTCTGTGCCAAATAAAGGTGTGCTATATATTAATTAGGATGCTTATGAATGACTACAGAGGAAAAAACTGAAAAAAAACTCTTAAAACCCTCAAAATGATACCAGCAAATGTATCCCCATACAACTGGTCTTTGTTTTTGTTTTAACCAGTGGTTCCAAGAATCAAAACCAGGACCTAGCGTATCCAGTGTAAGCACTCTACCACTGAGCTACACTGGCTCTCATAAATTATTTATTATACAGGATCATTGCCTTAGTTTCCTTTCCTGTTGCTGTGATAAAATACCTTGACAAAACTAACTCAAAGGAGACAGGGTTTATTTCGTGGCACAGTTTAAGGATACCTTCCACAGTGGCAGGGAAGTAAGGCAGCAGGGATAGCTGGTTACATCACACCCACAATTAGGAAACAGAGAAGGACAAGTACATGCTGCTGTCTCCCCTGAGCACAGTCCTGATCAGATGCCCAGGTGAGGGAATGGTCCAGCGTACTCAAGATGGGTCTTCCCATGTCGACCACTATAATTAGGGGAGTCCCTCACACATATTCTAAACCAAACCCTTATTTCTATAATCCATCTTGAGTGTGCCTGAAGGCATGCTCCTGGGTGAGTCTAGATTCCATCAAGGTGTAATTTACCATTAATCATCACAACTACATGAGGGTAGTTTCATTTAAGAGAGTAATATGCTTTGAGCATATCCTCTTCGATATCCTATTAACCTTCCCTGTGTCTCATCCTCCAAATATATGTGTTTCTACTTTCATGTCATATTATAAAAGCAGACAAGGCCAGCCCCATTGCAAAGCAGAAAGTGTTTCCTACTACAACTGGGACCAGGTTAATTGAACACTAACTATAGAAATTTTAATATATTTAGTTGACTGTATATGTGTGTGTGTGAGTGCATATGTGTACATGTGAAAGTCAAAGAACAATTTGCATCAACTGAATCTCTCCTTCCACTACTTGGAAACCAAGATTCAAAGTCAAGTGCTCAGGCTTGGTAGAGGGCACCTTTAGTGGCTGAACTGTGTTTCTGGACTCCAACAGTTTTTCCTAAGTTTATCATAAAACATTGCTGAGTCAGCTGCCTTCACTGATCTCTGACTCTTCCTCTGCAAATATGATCATACCAGTTTGGTATCAGTCTAAAGGGGTCAAACATGATCAGAAGACAATTCCCTGTGCGTTTGGAGGGCAAAGAGGTTGCTAATTAAAAACAACTTGTCTTGATCCTTACCCCAAATCTCTTTCGGCTAGCTGCATTAGGAATTAACTATGAAGGTTCAGCTATTGTCTCTCAAAAATTTGCCATCTGTGGAGACTACTGCTTGTCTACAGTCTATCACTTAGAAAACATTGATACTGACTGCCCGGGCCACATATCACAGAACTGAAGAATACAACGATATCAACAACCTAGCAAATAGACACTTAGTGTCACTCTGGGCATAGCATGGCTGTTTACACTCTTGAATTCACAGCAGCTATGATTACCAGCATAAGACCTACAAAAGATCTGTCCCACTAATCACTAAGTGTGAGGAGCTTATCACAATTCAACCCACAATGATTTCTACCCAGATAATTGTTGCTGAATGAGAGGCCATTTTCATCAGCAGTGCAGTCACTATTAAGGTACCCCAGAACATGTAACTCCCCACCAAGCTCCTGTAAACAGTGCTAATGAAACACATTGATTATTAAAACAAAGTCACAGAGGACCCTGGAACCTTCACTGGGAAACCCTTTGAGAAGAAGGCCTAAAGAGGCCTACTTGGCTCTGAGTCGTCAGGGCAGAGTGAGCAGCTCTGAGTCTCTATGAAGAGAAGCTGCCCAGGGCAGTCTCAGCCTGGAGTCCAGCTGTGCTCCCACCAGGGCAGCTGTGCCCATCTGCTCAGAGGATCCCAGATGGCAGGGACCCACCATGCTGCCAGTCAGCTCCCTCAACATCTGCTCCCCGTGGAGGGGAGACCCAGAGGCTTCTCCACCTGGTGGCCCTACCTTCTCTCACAAGTGGCTGTCACAGACAAGTTAGGATTTGGGTCTTGGCCATGGGGATTACGCTAATGAGGTAAAGCTTGTGTCAGGTGATTCCTAGGGAAGAACATTTGATAATTTTGCAAGAGCATTAGAGGTACAAGCCAACTGTAGGTCTGTTTTGCTTTCATTTGCATACTAATTTAAATACATCTCCATAGCACAGGAAGTTCTGTTTGAAGGCCAACTATGGACTGGGCTAGAAGAGGGAGCATGATTTACCCAACAGAGTCTAGGTAGTACCCAGGAACCAAGCATTTAGTTAGGCACAGGCCCTGTGGAAAAGGTTATCCAGAAAGGCCAAGGAAGCTCACTCTAAGCACAGTTCCACCATCTAGGCTCATCACAGATGGATAGCACCTGGGAGATGGTTAAGGTATAGTTGTAGGAGCCAGAGCCTTCATTTACATGGTCATATGTGAATATGGGTCTCTGATCCTTCCCAGTTCCATTACTCCTGTCTTTCTGTATTTGACTGCTGGTTGTATGTGTGTGTGTGTGTGTGTGTGTGTGTGTGTGTGTGTGTGAATGTTTATGTGTATGTGCATGTGTATCAGCTGTTTTGTTTGTTTGTTTTTTCTTTTTTAGACACAAATTTTTCATTTAAGCTGTGGTGTGGTGTGATACTTCTAGTACTTGCACTCCAGATATCTTCCTCCCTCTACTTATCTGAGCTGACATTGCAGCCAGGCCATGTTGCACCCAGCTCTTTGTGAGGCTGCTGGCAATCTAAACTCAAAATTTCCTGCTTTTGCAGAAAACACCAATGAATCCATATCTCCAGACCTTGACTTTCTTGTTTTCTAAAGTGTTATTTATTTGTTGGGTGTGTTTGTATGATTCACATGTGTATATGGGTGCCACAGGTGCCACAGTGCACATGTGTCAGTGTCAGAGACAACTTTGTATAGTCTGGTCATACCCTTTCTGTGGACTTTGAGTTTGGATTCAGGTCATGGGAGCTGTGCAGAAAGTGTTCTGCTTCCCTTTCTGATGAGACAATTTCCCATGCAGTCACCTGGTCCCACATTCTGAGGCATGGGAAAAGCCCAGCTCTTCAGAGAAATAGTAGAAAAGCAATTTTAATAGAACAGGGATCACCTGGGGAAGTTTTGGAAGTACAGATTCAGAGCTTCATGGGACTTTAATTAAGCCAGAATTCTGTGTCATCTGAAATGTTGACAGGTGCAAGGATCCCCAGGGAATGGGCTGTGCAGTCACATAGAGGACTTCTTTACTGTAGAGGTCAGCAAAAGGAAGAAGGGAGGAAAAGAAAAAGGAAACATGGACTAGATTCCAAGGGAGTCAAGTGGCAGCCCCCCCCAAGGTGCCTGCCTTTTCATCCAGCTGTTATTTCCTACTTCAGTCTGTACATGAACTAAAAATAACATCTCTAGATAGTCTCCAAAGTTTGATTGTTAAGAAAACCACATTAGAGCCAGCAAGATCACTCACCTAAAGACGTAATTTCAACATCATGAACACACAAAGTGAAGAAGAGAAGTGACTTTTGCTAATTGTTCTCTGACTTCTGCCTGTACATCACAGCATGTATATGCATGTATATACACCCAGAGATACAAATGAACAAATGATTCTAAAACCATGTTTTAAAAAACGAACCTGGGGATGGGGATGTAGGTCAGTTTCTAGACAAGTTAACCAGCATGCAAAGGCCCTAGGTTCAATCTCCACAGCATTCAAACAAAGAACCAAACAAACAAACAAACAAACAAACAAAAAACAAAGCTGAAGCGAACTTAATTATATTATAAAGAATTGGAACTTTTAGTTTCTAAGTATAAAATAGAATACATTTTAAATTATGAATGATGAAGAAAGCAAGAAACAAATTCAGTTGAAAAAAAAGATAATTTCTGAACTTTCACCCATACATTCTACTTCTTCCAGGCCTTAGAATTCAGTTTGGCATTAATATATAAGGGGCGAGGTTGCAGACAGTGAGACAGACAGAATGTGCAGTCAGAGAAACAGACAAGATACCATGAACATACAGACAGACAGAGAGCATAACCATTCCTCTGTTTCACTAGGAACCAGGTCAAGGACTGAAGTATATTCTATATGAAGAAAAACAAAGGAGAAGAGAGGAGGGGAATGGAGAGAGACAGAAATACACAGAAACGAAAACACAGACACAAAGAAAAAGTTGGAGAGGAAGGGAGGGAGGAAGGGGAGAGGGAGGCAGGGAGGAAGGGAGGGAGGGAGGGGGAGAGACAGACAGACAGAGAGAGAGAGGGAGAGAGAGAGAGAGAGAGAGAGAGAGAGAGAGAGAGAGAGAGAGAGAGAGAGAGAGAGAGAGAGAGAGAGAGAGAGACTGATTCTAACCTTGCAGGTAAACTTTCAAGACAAGGATTATAAAATAGCTAAGAGCATGCACTGCCAGTCTGCCAGTTCTGAAAGTCCACACTGCACATGGAGACTTCCTAATGTTCACAACAGACATTTGCTGTTCTCCTGTCAGAGACACTGATACAGCAAGCCAGGGGCTCTACCCAGCATCATGATACTCTGAGAATCAGAGCCAGTGATCTAGTGTGGGGTGGGGTCTCCAACACATGCCAGATCTCCCTCTACCAAAAATCAGCCACAGCTGCTGAACTTTTCTGTGTGCTCTATTTGTCTCTTTGTCCTTTTTTTTCCTTTTTTCGAGGGTGGGTCTAATAATCATCCCACTTCAGCCTCCCAAGTGCCAGTGCCTTAATCAAAGGCAAATACCGCTATGTCTAGTCAGCTTTGTTTGCATTTTGTAACAGCTTCATTGAAATATAATTCATACATTGTGTATCCTATTTTCTTA